ATAAAGAAAAAGATGTTGGACAATTGGACACTTTGATGAATGTTCATAATATTGCCTCCACAATTATCATATGTGTTCGGTAAGACTTAAGAGTGTGAGATATGTTAATCCGAGTGTCCGGGGACCGGAATGTATCGGCCAAGTGTCTAAAATAATAAAATATATATATTTCTAAATTATGGATACGGCCATGAAGTGTCAAGCGCGTGTCTAGAAGTGTCCAGCGCATGTCTAGAAGTGTTCATGAAGTGTCAATGTTAAATATGGTGTCAGAAATAGACTCGACACCTTCATAGAAGTGTGTGTCCTTTTTACCTTTTTTATGTACAAGTTATTTGAAGTACACATAACAGAAATAATCACTTGTATAAACAAAGTTGTTATTTTTCCTTATTGATATCATATATGACAATCATAACTATACATATAGCAAGTAAAATTAAAGTTTTTATGAGTTTTTTCTTTATACAATCAACGACCACTAGAAATGTACATTTCTGTGATGGTCACCGATGGCTCAGAATCCTTGGACTGCGAAGCAGAATGGTGTTGTGATTTGTCACTATCATTGAGCCCTGCTGCCCAGTACTCTTGATTCAAAAGAAGAGCATCCAAGTTCTCAGGTAGTGAAACATTACCCTTTAAGTACCGCAAAACTTGAGACATGCTTGGCCTAATTGCTGCCACAGGGTGTGAACAAAACAGTCCAAGCTTCAACACCAATTCAATCTCTTCCTCCTCGAAATCGTTCCTTAATTTGGGATCAACAGTCTTCAAGATTTCCTGTTTTCTCAAACATTCTGCTACCCGGTCCACAAGAATTATCCCTTCGGGTAGTGCTCGTTGCTCCAACGGCCTCCTACCACAAGCAACCTCCAAGCAAAATGCTCCGAAAGCAAAAACATCGGTTCCTTTTGTTGCCTTGCCATTTCTAGCAAACTCGGGTGCAATGTAGCCCAACGTGCCAGCTACATGAGTTGTTTGAGGATCCTTTCCGCGAGCAATGCACCTTGCCAGCCCAAAATCGCCTAATTTCGCGTTTAGATCATCATCCAATAACACATTGCTTGCCTTGATATCTCTGTGAATAATAACTTCCACCCATTCTTCGTGCAAGTAAGCGAGTCCTGAAGCTACGTCTTTGATGATTCTGAACCTTTGATTCCAGTCAAGCGTGGCCTCTGGATCATTAAAGAGGAACTTGTCAAGACTGGCATTGGCCATGAAATCGTAGACCAAAAGAAGCTCACCCTTTCGTCGACAATAACCAAGGAGTCTTACCAAATTGGGGTGTCTCACCCTCCCAATTGTGGCGATTTCCGCTACAAATTCCTTCATTCCTTGTCTTGCTTTGTGTGAAATTCTCTTCACAGCAGCTTGAGTATTGGACATGGGTAGCACTCCTCTATAGACCTCACCAAAACCTCCACTCCCGAGAAGTTCTGCAACTTTGAAACCTTTGGTGGCTAGAAATAGATCTTTGTAAGGATACCTGTGAGGCCCGTATTGAACCTCCCAATCTTCTACTACATCGGCAAATTGAGCTTTTCTTTTCCTCAAGAAAATAATGATAAAAATTGTTGTTGACACTGAAACTACTCCAATTGCAGACAATCCAATTGCTAGAAGTATTTTTTTCGTTTTGGATTGTTTTCTGCGCGGAAGAGATGGAAGTTTGGAAAGATCAAGCTCTTTGGCTTTTCCATTCAACTGAAAACTCCATTCGAAAACTTAAGCATACTGTGACAAACTGTCCGTAGATGAGGTAAACCCCACATACATTTGGTCCAGGATGAATATTGATATATCAATGTTCAATGACAAGAGTGGGAGGCTGGGCTTATCTATGTTGATGGGGGATAATGTGACATTAAATTGCTCATCTACGCCATCATAATCCACCCAAGCATGCATTAGATCACCACTCTTAAGGTTTAGGCTCTTGAATTCACCATCCCCTTTCGAAAAATAAGCTGCAGGAATGGATTTGACTGATTCCAAGCTGTTAATGTCAATGCCAACATGGTTATCATTGATATCATCATCCTCTGAGTTTTGATATGTGTCAAATTCGATAGCAACTATATGGTTTGATGACTTTTCATTTGATGAATTCTCGAAGGTTAACGGCTGGGAGTAGAAAAAAGCATGGCCGATAACATACTGGGATGATCCGCTGGTGAGCTGGAAAAGACCGTCTGGTGTGACCTCTGCTGCATCAAGCTTCCGTTGAAGGTGAAACCACCATTGATGCTAGAGTCTGCCACTTTGATCAGGAGGAGGAGCACCAGATGAATCTTAAAGAACATGAAGACTTTTGAACTTCGAATGGCCTAATTTTCTGTTTACTGTAAATTGTGTTGAATGAATCAGTTGTTTGTGAGCAAGCAATCTATCATGAAAAGAGTACTAAGATGTACTGATCATTGATCTGTTGTTGTAATTAATTATTAGCAGCTTATTCAGACTTTCGTTGTATTTGCTTGAAAATTTAATCCAATGAAGGTCAAAAGCAACTGTAAATTTCACATTTGACTAAGTGTTGGATGCATAGGCCATTAGACCGGATATCAAACATAGCACCGGGTGCCGACCGGAGTCTTAGGCGCTTAGCCTAAGGTCCAGGTCCAGGTCCAGCTAATAGAAAGATGCCAAAAATTTTCATTTCCTTGCATATCATAAAAAAAATTTAAAAATTTTATTTCCTTTTAATATAGTGTGGGCTTAAAATATTTCTATCATTTTTTAACTTTAAAAATCACAAAACAACTAATGAGCATTTTACTAATATAAACAATTAGGTAGATTCTATTATAAAATCACTTTATTTTTTTCGCCTGGCCACAAATTTTATTGAGCCTGCAAAACAACACCAATCCAATCACCACTAGAGCTAGAATCTTTTATTTTTTATTTTTTTTATGTAATATCATGGAAGAAAACAAAAAGAAGGAATATGAACAAACATATCATAGACATAAACAAAGTTGCTCATAATAGGCTTATAGGACATATAAATAAAGATAATCTAGAAGTATTGGAGAGGGGAATTTTATTATTATTATTATTATTTCAAATTTTCAATTAAATTCAAATTTTTGTTATGTTTTAATGGAAAATTTTTAATTTTGTTTTTAGGTAAAAAAAAAATTCAAAATTAACCCTCTTTACAAACTCACTTAATGACAGCTAATGAATGATGACCAAAAATGTTTTAGGGAAAATTACATACAAATGGAGTCAAAGTTCCATATTTACTTAGAGGCTGAGTCAAAATTTCATATTTTTTTAAAATTAATTGCTGAGGTGGCACATGGTTTTTTACTGTTTAGAAATTGTGGTGCCTAAAATACCCTTCCGCGAATGTACTACTTTTTCTTCGAATGTACTACTTTTTTGAACTGAAGGTACTACTTTTTGGCGTCTAGGTACCATGTTTTTTAAATACTCGCGAAAGTACTACTTTTTTTCTGAAGGTACTACTTTTTTAAACTGAAGGTACTACTTTTTGCACTGAAGGTATTACTTTTTTATTAGGGAAGGGCATTTTAGGCACTATAATTTTCTAAACAGTAAAAAATCATGTGCCACCTCAGAAATCTATTTTAGAGAAATATGAGACTTTGACTCAATCTCTAAGTAAATATAGAACTTTAACTCCATTTATATGTAATTTTTTCAATGTTTTACTCCTATATAAATCCTAATTCTTGTCATATAATTTGCAGAGTTTTGATATGACTTTGTCCCAGGAGTACTAGTTACATATTTTATACACCTAATCACCCACCTACCGACGAGTGCTTTTTGAAGGAGTTGCATGTTACACGCGATTATAATATAAAATTATTTACAAGTTGTTGAGCACTTGAGCCTAAACTATTCATTCAATTTTGTTGACTGAATTATAGAAAATAGTGATAAATTAGGTGTACTTCTATTTGCAGTTAAGGCCTTTTACATTGGTTTATTTCTGTAATCTAAATTTCCCATTATTTAGCTTTGGATTGGGAAGACAAAAAACATTGGGAGTGGTTGGCTTTTTCTCTTAACATTTTTTTCTTTTTCTTTTTAAATTATGTTCCTTTTTTTTTTCTTTGGGGGGGGGGGGGGGGGGGGGGTTGGTTGGGTTTGGCTTGAGTGCTTGGGATTTGTTATCAGCATGTTAAATAAGAAGTTAGTTTGCTTAGAGGCTTCTCAAGTTGATTTGGAAGAGAATATGGTTTGAAAATGAATTTTATTTTTATTAAAGTTAAGGTGGTTTATAGTTATTTCAGGCGTTAGCCACCTTCTCATTTCTTTCAGCAGATTAAGTTTCAATTTAAACAACTCAGAATTCGATATGACATGTTAATTTCGATAAATTAAAATTCATCTAAATAAACTTTTGAAAAAATAAAAAATTCCACATTTGACCGTTAATTACAAGTACGAGGGGGTGCGGTGATAGCGGGCAACTGCATTTTGGGGCCTTTGGCCCAGGTTCGAATCCCACCCCAATCTTCTCTCTCCCCTACTAACACACTATGACATATTAAACATACATTTGATCTAAAGGTTCAGTTGCAAATTTATAAAAAGCACTAGAAGAAACTTGCTCATTTGTTCATCAGAACTCTCTTCCAAACCGCAATTAGATTATCGAAAAAAAAAAAAAAAAAAAAATCTTAAATTGCTAAAAGACTATGTTGTTTCAATTGTCTGATTTACATCAATGGTTAGTTTAATTGTCATAAGTTTAATCTAATTCAATACAAATTTTGAGACAAATGAATAGAAAATTTAAGCTCAGATAAATAATTGGAAGTGGTTGGCATGGTCTAACATTTAAAAGAAAGAGAGAATTAAATTAGAGGCAATAATTTCAAGGGTACAAATGCAGGAAGGCGGAACAAATCCGCATGAGAACGACATTTAAAGAAGTCAATGGGTATATTCGAAAATATGCAGAAAGATCCTCTGGTCCGTAACAAATCGACTAATAAACAAGGGACCATATTTTACTGGAAAAAAAGAACGATTAGCCTAACTTGACCCGCTTCTGACAGCAGCGTGAGAAACAGAGCCAGACTCTCTCTCTCTCTCTCTCTCTCTCTCAACGCTCACCAGTCTCCACCAAAGCTTTTTAGGTAGGTGAATATATATATAATCAATTTCAGCTAAAATTATTCGCGTTCTTCAAAACCCAGATCTTAAATTTTCTGGGTTCGTATCATTTTCAAGAAAGTTTAATTCTTTTCACTTTTGAGAGGTAGTATAGCATGTTTTGATTCATTTCATTAATTTCTTGGGCTTTGATCAATACAATATAGTATTAATTTCATGCATGTGTCCCTTGTTGGCTTTGTCTTTTCAATTTTTGTTGTGGATTGCTCATATCAAGTGTTGTGATATGATTTGATTGAATTTTATCAGCACATATGTTTGTTACTGGCAATTTTTTGATTGATCACAAAGTTATTTCATTTTTCGTTCTTTTGTGCTACCCAATTTGTCTTCCTTCAGGAATATGCCACTTTGTTTTCTGATTTGTTGGATTTTGCTTTATACTATATAGCTCTTACATTTTATGTAAGTCCTTAATGTTCAAGTTTTGCTTTTGGGGTTAAAACTTAAGAATTACAAATCCATAAATATTTAATTTACTGGGTTGTTTTGAGAAGTGTAGAATTTTGGAATTTCAATTTTGTGGAATTTGAAAGCTTTCTCTGTCCCTTGAATCTGAAAGTTAATTTCAGTTATTTCGACTGATGAGAAAAGGATTAAGAAAAAGTGGAACTTTAATTTGTTTTCAGATCCATAGGTATTTTAAGCATCCAAACTGCAAATCCGAAAATGATCCAATTGGAAGCAACCAAATGTAGATCATATCTTTATTAGTAGTTTTAGGATTGTCTTATTTTTATTAAATGTAGCATCATAATGACGAATTATCTTTATTAAGTATTCCCAATGAGATCTGTTATGCTATTCAATCAAATTTGGTCAGCGTTATCAATCACTTTGGAACTTCTTATGCAAGACTTTATAGGTTGTGGGGTTATAATCATTAAAGTGTTTGTGATTTCCATTACTTCTTTAATTATAGATGGTGGCCTTTTCCAACGCAATTATTGAAGAAATTTTCTTTTGTTTATCTCAGAAGTCCTTGTAGTTTTTTTTTTTTTTTTTACCTTTCAAATTCATGGTTTGGTTTTGTTTTTGTTTTGTTTTTTTTTTTTTTTTTAATAAAAATGAACAATCTGCGGGACTAATAATCGGATACTTTGAACAGGGAGAAAAATGGCTACCCCAACAAGAATTGGCCTTGCAGGCCTTGCTGTCATGGGCCAAAATCTCGCTCTCAACATTGCTGACAAAGGATTCCCTATTTCTGTCTACAATCGAACCACTTCAAAAGTTGATGAGACTGTTGAACGAGCTAAAAAGGAAGGAAACCTTCCTGTATATGGCTTCCATGATCCTGAATCCTTTGTTCATTCGATCCAAAAACCTCGTGTCATAATCATGCTTGTTAAGGCCGGTGCACCTGTCGATCAAACCATCAAAACGCTATCCGTTTACCTGGAGAAAGGAGATTGTATTATTGATGGTGGTAATGAGTGGTATGAGAACACTGAGAGGAGAGAGAAAGCCATGGCTGAACTGGGTCTACTTTATCTTGGAATGGGAGTTTCTGGCGGTGAAGAGGGTGCTCGGCATGGGCCCTCTTTGATGCCTGGAGGTTCCTTTGAAGCCTACAAGTACATAGAAGATATTCTTCTTAAGGTGGCTGCTCAAGTTCCTGACAGTGGCCCTTGTGTTACTTACATCGGCAAAGGTGGATCTGGCAATTTTGTTAAGATGGTTCACAATGGAATTGAATATGGTGATATGCAGCTTATTGCAGAGGCCTATGATGTACTGAAATCAGTTGGGAAGCTCTCTAATAAGGAATTACAACATGTTTTCTCAGAGTGGAACAAGGGGGAGCTCCTGAGTTTCTTGATTGAGATTACTGCAGATATCTTCGGAATTAAAGATGACAAGGGAGATGGGTATTTGGTAGACAAGGTTCTTGATAAAACTGGCATGAAGGGTACTGGTAAATGGACGGTTCAGCAAGCTGCTGAGCTGTCCGTTGCGGCTCCCACTATAGCTTCATCTTTGGATTCACGATTCCTCAGTGGATTGAAGGACGAAAGGGTTGAAGCTGCCAAGGTTTTCAAATCAAGTGGGGTTGGTGAAATCTTAACTGACCAAGCTGTGGATAAGGAAAAGTTGATTGATGATGTGAGAAAAGCACTTTATGCATCCAAAATATGTAGTTATGCCCAGGGAATGAATTTGATCCGTGCAAAGAGCATTGAAAAGGGATGGGGCTTAAAAATGGGGGAGCTGGCTAGAATTTGGAAGGGAGGTTGCATAATCCGGGCTATATTTTTGGACCGTATCAAGAAGGCGTACGACAGAAACCCAGACCTTGCAAACCTTCTTGTGGATCCAGAGTTTGCAAAGGAGATGATTGAGCGACAGTCTGCTTGGAGAAGAGTTGTTTGCCTTGCTATTAACTCAGGCATCAGCACACCTGGTATGTCTTCTAGTCTTGCTTATTTCGACACATACAGGAGGGAGAGGCTGCCTGCTAATTTGGTCCAAGCTCAAAGAGATTATTTTGGCGCTCATACTTATGAGAGGACTGATATACCAGGTTCTTTCCACACTGAATGGTTCAAGATTGCTAAGCAGTCAAAGATTTGAACTTCTTTTAGTTGTCTCCTATGTCCTGCCATATTGAGCCATCATCATTTAACTAATAATGCCCTTTTGTTACTCAAAACCGGGCAGTTACCTCTGCTACTGTGAATGTTACTATGTCTCTGAGATTAGGTTGTTTCTGTTAAATTGTCTGGTGATAATGCCTTTTTTTGATTGTTGTGGAGTTCTGTTGCAGATTTTCTGGCTCTGTTATTCTGTATTAAAGAATGTAATCCTTTTAGTCATATGAACCATATTCTAAAATAAGAGTACTTATGTTTGCCTTTTGCTATTGACTTTTGAGGGAGCTTAACAATGTTCACGGAATGCTTGTTGACATATGATTTCTTGAATTTCCTTTAATTCTTCATTCTTTTTAAGTTGTTAGACAATGTTCACAGTTTTCTTGAATTTCCTTGGTAAGGCTAATTTGATAAGAAGACTGAATTTTTTTCAATCTAAAGTATAATTTTCAGGTCATACAATCTTATGGCTATTAGGTTCTCTAGCTCTAAATCACTTTTCAGTATAGTGGCTGACTTGGTTGATCATTCTATCAACATCTTTTGTTCCTCTAATACTACTTTTCCAAAACATAGTATGTCTTTTATATTATACTCTTTTTTGTTCTTGTCATATCATTCATAGAAAGTGGAACATTCTGTAGCCTGTCAGCTTACCACACTTTTCTGGGTTACAAGGGTATCCGAATCTCTGCATTTTCCTTCGTACCCAGAGTAACCATATCCTTGGTTCCGTGCACAAGATGTGTCCGAAATTCCAGGGTGTATCAGTGCTTCTTGGCTGCCTATCATCCAGCAGTTTTGCGAATGCTTGTAGTCATTAGGTGGTTATAATGTTGTGAAATATCATACAGTAGCTAGAATAATGCAGCGACTGGGTTTTTAGGCTTTTTTAAGTTAAGTCCGGCTTGCCTTATTCAAGGAACCTAATGTAGGCAACCGAAGGATGGCGTTTCTCAATAATTATAAGTTACGTTTTGGCTATTTTGAACTATTAAGTGATTCTGGGTTTATAAATAGTCGATACTAAGTCATTTTCAATGCTTTTGCTGCCTGACATATGCACAATTCATCATTGAAATCTTAGACATTTCCTCATAGCCTCGTGGTTGGTGGGTACCCCGTCACTGCAAGAAGGGCCAATGATGGGCAATTAGGCACCCTCTAAATGAAGGAATTATCACCACTAGCGTCATTCGAAGTGACCCATCACCAAAGTTGATTATTCAATCCTCTTATGTGGATATTCTGCTTTGATACTCAAATCTACTTTGTATTTTGTATGTCAGGAAGTTGTTACTGAAGCAAGAATTCATTATTTGCAAATAATCTGTTTCTAATGCATGCTTCCCAGCCTAGTGATACCCTTGTTTAGTAATGCTAGGAAAGATTAAATATTCTTGAACTATATAGATATGTAGTTCAAGAATATTTATATGTTGCGTGTGTGTCTTTGTTTTATTAAAAGGAGAGGTAAAACATAAAACGTCTTATGTGTTGTGTGTGTGTGTGTGTGTTTCTATGCATATATATTTAAGGTGAATGCCTTTTATTATAGTGTAGTTCCCAAGTGATCCCTCACTAAACTACCCTGCATCTGTACCTGTGCTCTCTCTATGCCATACATACATATGTACACATTCTCGTCTGAATGATCACTTGCATGCATCCGAAGAGAACAGAAAGGCACAGAAATTTATATATGTTTTATATATAGAACACGTAAATCATAGTTGTACATGCACATTATGATAATTCCATGGATGTGCTATCTAGTTTGTGTTTTTTTTTTTTTTTTTGACCTTTGCTCCAATGTGCAGAATAACCAGTAACAGTATTTGCATCAAGTCTTGGCTCTTCTTTCTTTGCTTCAATACTCCTTTCAAATTTTTTCTTGTCACACGACTTTCCTCCTTTTCGCTTGGAATTTTTGGATGACTTGGTCCTGGTGAGGCATCTGAAACCAAAGAGTCATCACTCTCATTACCATCGTTGCCTTGATCTCCATTTCTGTCAGTTTTGTGATTGTCATTGTTGTCGTTACCACCATGATTATAGTACATTGTTCTGTACTTTTAAGGACTACATTCTTCTGTACTTTTAGTAATCTCAGTGCTGTTCCCGAACAACCTGCAATCCTCTTCAAGGCTCGAAGCCGGGCTCACAAGGACAATGAAGAGCAATCCTACCGATTGGGCTACGAAGGCATTCGCGCTGGTATCTTCTATCTTAATGACCCTTTTATACAAAGAACAAAGAGATCCATAATTAACATGTTGATTGACTAGCCAGAATATGACCACCTGATGACATTCCGAGCTCCATAAATCTCTAGCGTCACAGGTTTTTCTGGGAGATGCAAAACCAATTTCTCTAATTTTTCCTCTTTTTCTGTCTTTTAAAGACACTAACTGGCCTAGCGGTACCAAGCTCCTATTTCTCAAGAGAGGTCAGGGGTTCGAGCCTCAGTGGAGGCATGTGTATGTGAGTACTAACTAGAAAAAAAAAAAAAAAAAAAAAAATTTAAAGACAGAAAAAGAGGAAAAAAATATGTGAGCCAAAATCTTAAATTAAAGGGTGCTTCGCTACACACATTTGATTCTCTGCCTTGTCATCAACAAGGAGCAGCCCTTTCCAGTGAAAATATACAAGGAACCCAACTGTGTTTTGTCATTTTATATTCATTGATTAATTTTGATTCTGTTTTCTGTCCTTCGTTGGCTGGTGTTTGTCTCTCTATAAAGCAGACTTGTGTCTTTTGTGTTACTGGGGTAAGAATCTGACTTTATGTTAAATTTTCTTCAGATGGGACACATAATAATGCTTATCAGATCAACAACTGCAATCATATACTACTATCACTGTAAATTAGGTGATTGTACGGTATGCTTGGCGGCACCTAACTGGGCATTTTAGATTTGAAACTGAAAAAAGTTAAGTTTAATTAAAAACTTTTTTTAATGTCAAATTCAAAGTATCAATTCGATACTCCGAAATATAACATATAGAAATTTCATATTGTTACTTACCAAAAGAATTTCATACATCACTCTGGCATGACACAATTTCATTAGCTAGCACTTTGGGGTAGCAACCAGGCTGTTAACTGTGGGAATGAAGGTTGCTAGCAAAATGTGATGGCCCACCATTAGCTAGCACCACATCGTCCCTTACTATCGCAATAATGACTCATTTGCTAGCAAAAATCTATCTATACCGGTTTGTCACGGGCCTAGAGATTTGGCGCAGCGGCACGGCCCGTGCGGCACCAAAGCGTTGCTTCAGCTCGCGCAAGCGCCCTGGTCAGCCACCACGACCTGCCCTCCCAAGGATATATGCTGACTGGTTTCGGCCTGCCATGGCCTCGTCAGGGGAACGGCTCCAGCTCCCGACCAGTTTGTGCAGGGATGGCCAACTCCCTTCTTCATAGTCAAGTCCAAGACTAGCGACAAGCACCTCGAACTGAACCGAGTCGACCTGCCTGAACTCTGAAGAGGTACCATCCTGTGGTCCTGCACGCCCCTTCCCTGGAACCATTCCCAGTCAATGAATGTTCTTAGCCAACCAACATGCGTATCTTCTATGCTCATGGCGTCGTTAGGAATCGGATCGTGACATTCTCCCCCACCCAAATCCTGCGACGCCCTCGTCGCAGTGCGGCGCTGACTCCGCTGCGTCTAACATTCCAAAGCCTGTCTCCTCCAAGTGGTATGCTCGCCTGCCCACCATCGCTTCCTTGTACAACCCCTGGCTGCACTCGCCCAATGATAGGGTTTCGGGCTAAAGGGACGCCCACTTCTTCGGGACGCAACCCCACGTTATGCCGCCTCCGCGACACCCCGAGCAAACAAGCGCCCTCCGGCTGACTTGATACCCGCCCTTCACAACGGTTTGCACTCCTCTTGAACTTGCAAGAACTTTGGTGCGCGCGGCCCTCCGGCTTAAAGGACGCATCTTCATGGGGAGATAGAGGCTCTCCTCCAACAGCATTGATTACCCACCGACGCTTTTTCAGTGCACCGTCTTCATTCTCAAGACCCCCGGATCGACAAGAGGGCACACCTCTGTGCTTTTCCCCAAGTCCTGCTCTGATACCATTTGTCACGGGCCTAGAGATTTGGCGCAGCGGCACGGCCCGTGCGGCACCAAGGCGTTGCTTCAGCTCGCGCAATCGCCCTGGTCAGCCACCACAACCTGCCCTCCCAAGGATACATGCTGACTGGTTTCGGCTTGCCATGGCCTCGTCAGGGGAACGGCTCCAGCTCCCGACCAGTTTGTGCAGGGATGGCCAACTCCCTTCTTCATAGTCAAGTCCAAGACTAGCGACAAGCACCTCGAATTGAACCGAGTCGACCTGCCTGAACTCTGAAGAGGTACCATCCTGTGGTCCTGCACGCCCCTTCCCTGGAACCATTCTCAGTCAATGAATGTTCTTAGCCAACCAACATGCGTATCTTCTATGCTCATGGCGTCGTTAGGAATCGGATCGTGACAGGTTGCTCGACCAAATTCAACATCACTCCCTACAACACGCAACAGTGTCTTTATCTAAAGTGAGCCGGATTGGACTTTTTTTTCTTTGAATACAATTCGATACTTTCAATTTTTGACAGCTGCATCACAACTAAATTAATTAAAGCTACTCATTAGTCGAGTGTGTAACCTTGCATGCTAAACTCTTTTACCTGCAACCTATATTAAATCATGGCACCTAATTTAATAAAAGTTAAAAATTATACCGTTTTAAGATTAAAAAGTTTTAAAATATCTTAACTATTTATATTTTAGTTTAAATCTAAATCTGAATTTACATTAAAATACATCTAGATATTACTAACAAAAAATTTAGTATTTCTAAATAATGAAGAACGTTTCTGCTAACATCATGGCAAACTATGCTCAAAACTTAAATTTTATAAAATTCATCTAATCAGACACTGTATACTATTAAATTAAAAACCTAATATTCAAGTTTCTTTAATCAAATCACCTTCTTCATCCAAGCCAATACTCTTATTTCAAAAAAAAAAGGTGAGGGAGCAATCCCTTTTTTTTTTTTTTTTTTTTTTTGAGGAAAAGGGGAGAGAGATATTTACTTCTTGGTAAAGCTTTTTATTTTAAAACGATGTAATTTCCAAATCCATATATATATATATATATATATATATATATATAGGTACATATGTTTTGATTTCTTGTATTTTTATTGCTTAAAAAAATAATAATAATAATAAAGGAGATGATATTTGTATTTCATTTTTTCCAATTGCACTTTATTTACCTTTTTTTTTATTTAAGAAAATGACAAAAAAAATTATTGAATTCATTAATACATAATTCCTTAATTTATAATATCATAACTACTATTTATACAACTTTAACTTTTATTTTTTTACCTTCTTTACTTTCTTTACGAATTTTTTTTTCTTTCTATTTGTTTTTTCAGAAGGTCCTCTCAAAAAAAATAATTTATTGCATATTAATGATTTTATTTTTGGCAGTAAAAAGATATAATTTATTCCATAATATACATATATATATATATATTGGTACAATAAAAGGAATATTTATACAACAAAGTTAACTCTTTTTTAATAGTAAGTTTTTTTTTTTTTTGTTAATTTTCTATGGACCTGTGAAAAAAAATAATTTATTAGATAAAAATAATTTTCTTTTTGAAAGGCTTATCAAAGCAAATAATTTATTCAATAGAGATAATTATTATTTTTATCTTTAGCTGTCCACTCCAACACTCACAAATCCTAATAATTAAATAGTCTGACATTAATTTTTATTGAGAGTTCAACTCCTAATTGACTCCAACTGCTAACTAAAATACAAGGACATCTAATTTTATTGCCCACGCCTTATTTATCGGATTCACATGTATTTCGTAAACTGACTTCAAATTTCACAACCAATCACGTTAACCTGTAAAGGGTAATTTCGTCAGTCAATCATCAAAGACAGTGGCATTTCGGAGAAATCGTCGAACACAAAAGACTGTTTTCTCCAAAAACAACCAATTAAAAAGATTTCTGTCGATCTCGAGCTCACAATTGACCCCATCGCTTCATAAGAGTCAACCGAACTTTTCTCCAGTTGTATCACCAGCCAAAGCTAGAGAGAGAGAGTGTTTTTAGAGAGAGAAAGTACAGGGAGAGGGAGCACATGTTGCTGCTTCTATATTGAATCCACCAGCTCTGGTTCTGTATATAGATTTGTTCGATTTCACGAGAAATCGATAATGGGTTTGGTTCAATATATGCGTTCTATTGATTGGGACCACGAATCGTATCCAGAGTATGCAGATTTCGCAGTTCTTCCCCTCTTCGCTGTGTTTTTTCCGACACTTCGTTTCTTTCTTGACAGATTTGTCTTTGAGGTACTGTGTTCCTTACTTATTTAATTGAAATTAATTAAATTTTTTGTTTTTTTCTCCTCAAGTTTGATACTTAGATCGGTCAAATATATGTATGTGTATATATATATGGTTGTTTCGAATATATGGTTGGCCAGTAAAGAATTTACATATAGTTGATGGGTTGTGTAAAGTTTTTGTAAATCTGTTATATGTGAATTATTATTATTTCTTTTTGCTAAAAAATTAGAGCTTTACTGAATCTTCCTCATTCTGTCTTTATAGTTTCTGTTACTTGTACATAGGGCCGGAGGGTGGGGTAGGGTGGGGTGGGAGGGGAGGGGGAGCAATTTTTAATTTTTTCTTTTATTTCAAAATCTATTAATGGTACCTATTCATGGTTATTAATTGTGATTTTATATAGGACAATTAAATTCCTATTTATGGCTACCTATCTATGGTCATTAAAGGTGGTTGGCAAATAATTCAAATTCCAATAAATCATTTTAGTATTGCTTTTAAAAAATCAAATTTAGTAAAAAAAGTAATAATAATAATAATAATAATAATAATAATAATAATTATTATTATTATTATTATTATTATTATTATTATTATTATTATTTTTTATGAATTAAAGAGAGAAGAAAAAGAATGTTGACACTTGGCAGTATCATTTATTGGACAATTGTTGTTTTCTCCATTTTTTCTTCACAATTATTACTATATTTTATTTTAAAATGTAATTGTATATTACTAGTTGGCCCCCAAATGAATATTTCTGGCTCCACCCCTGGGTTGTACATAGGGTATGCTCCCTTCCTTTTGTACTTGGTTTCCCTGATACTAGTAGCTTTATTTTAATCATAATAACATTTGAAGGTATTATGTGAATCCATATTAATTTTTGAATTGAATGTTGGGGTCATCTAGGAACATTGTGATTCATATACATGTCAGGAGTGATATAAGCATGTTGCCCAGGGGAAAAAAACACCTTTACTTGGTGAGTTATGAAAAGGAGTAAGTTAGATGTGATTATAATGATTTTTGGTTCACTATGGATTCCATTTGATCCCTAAGAATAACAGAAATTGTTGACTAGATGTAGTACCTTTTTTTTTAACTTCTAGAAAACACATTAGGATTTGGCTAGATGTAGAACTTTTATATTAGTTCCACAGAACACATGTATATGTGTAGTTTGTTTTTTATACTCTGGTTCTTTCTTTGGAAAATCAGAACCTGAAAAGGTATTGAACCAACAGAAGGACGTAGGTTTCTTTTAATATCAATGCTGTGCTTTCTGAAATGATGGAAACTTGCTTCCTCTATTTCTGGGATGCCATTATTAGGGAAAACCCTCATTTTGAAAATATTCAACAATTTACAGAAGAGAACAACTATTAAAAACATATATTGACAGGATAAATTTAAATCTTAGGAATACAATTATAACAACAAATATGAATTTACAAGGAAATAAAGTATAAAGATGAGATTTAACTTTTATATTGTAGAACAACATCAAGCATGTGAAATTGAACAAGATATGAACATCATTGTAAGTCATATAATTTAAACAACAGAGAATATACTAATAATAGACATTAAGAAAGAAACACAATAATAATAGAATAATATGGAAAGAATTGGCTTGGATAAATGAGAGACATGGTAGGTACTGTGCTAAAGTCGTATGGTATACCACTTCATATCCGCCAGTAGTCTTCTTCGTACCAATCTTGCATCGGGTTGCCCGAAAAAGTATATAAAATAATGAAATTTATGAAACAGAAAGGACACAAACTTAGAGAGAAAAAAGCGTCCACACAAAGATAGAGACGGCTTCTTTTTATAGTAGTTCAAGAATGTACGAGACTACAAGTTATATTTACAAAATTAAGAACAAAATAAACCTCAAAATGAATTACCATAAAATCATGTTAAATGTAATTAACATAAGAATAAATGCAATATAATATATTTTCTAAAATCACTAACATCGTGGTGTGTCAGGCTTAATATTACCAGCCACACTTGTTCTTGTCAACTAAGAATTCTTTAATAAACCAGCATGGAATCATACAATTCCATTGATGTGTGGCCTGATCCTAAACCCACATGCACTTATTTATTTCCTGGTTTAAGTTTCCTTTGGAACAAACAGCTATAGTTTCTTCCTCTATTTTTGAAGTACATGATTTTGTATTTCTGTTTCCTTAATAGTAATGACCTCATGGAGTAAGCCATGCATAATGGTGAACTATAATTTTGGAAAATCAATTTCCAAATAAGTTCTTAAGCCAACAGCATGGTTTCCATGCAGATACCGAATGGGAGGTGTCTTCTTCTATAATGATTTTGGGTAATATTTGATGTTTCAGTGAAGTTGTGTTCCATGATGAAATTTTTTGGGAGTGAATTTGTGTTCTTTCATAACCTTCTTGGTGCTATATAGTGCTGATATTTTTCTTCACCATTATCTTGGGAAAATAATTTATGTCTAGGTCTCGTATGTACAAATTCTTTCTCAACAGTAGGAATTGAACCACTAACGTCAATCCACATTTAGATGCCACATCAGAACTTAATCACTGTGCTACAACGGTTTTTTATTTATTTATTTTTATTTATGACAAGATTTTCTTGAAATTCATAGCGAATGCCAATTCAAGAGATGAAATGTCCTTTTTTTTCCTCCTTTTTTAACCCTCCTTTTCCTTTCTTTAAGTGTAAAGTTAATGCTTTTATCTTGAGATCTATTGTTTATTTTCCTTGGTGTTCCAAATGCTTCTTGATATATATTAGGCATAGCGAAGTCCATTAAGTTATTTGATCTGAAAAGAAACGCATGAGTAAATTTACCTATACAAAAATTGTCAATCCAGAATACCTGCTAGGCTGCTATATGTTTGTCTTGCTAGAATTATGCAACATGAAATATTATAACTAAAAGATCTGTTTCCTACCAACCATCTATTTCTGTTTAAAATATCCCTTCCCATATTATTTTTAGAAGATTATTCATATAAGGCAGACATCAAGCAATCTGATGCGCCAAGCCGGCAAGGAATGTTAAATTTGACGATTGGGACCCACCATATGACACTCTCATTTATGAGATGAAGTGAAATATTTGAGCCAATATGTTCAACTCATTTTGATGGCAGAATGCTTTAAAAAATAGGATGAATAAAAAAATTTGCACCTCTAGTCATGTTAATTATTTTATTAGGGATTTAAAATTCCACTTATTAGATGAGAAACTCTGATTATTGAAATAAGCATCCATGCTGTAAGCTAGATATTTAATTTGACTGATCACATGCTTCCTTACAGCGCCAAAGCAAAGTGCAACCCCTGTTATATGGAATTTCTCTCATGAGAGAGAGAGAGAGAGAGATTTGGTTGAAATAAGCATTTAATGGGCTTTTTTAGATGGCCAATATTTTGTGAGTTTTCTGTATTGAAGAATTTTATTGGTAACTTTTACATGTTCTTTTTTCATTTTTTTTTTTTTTTTGATAAGTAACTTTTAGATGTTCTTTTATCTGACAATTACTCAATTGCTTGTTTTATTGGTGCTCTGGACCCTATTAAACCTTAAATTTTTTGTCTCCTCAACATCAACAGTTGTGTTCCACAAATGAAGTTAAGAATTCAACTTCCTATGAAGCTCTCACTTGCTGATAATTAGAAGCGACCTCATATTTATAATTAGTAACTATTATATATAAAACAGAAACTTCAGCTATTTGCTTCCTCCCCCCCTCCTCCTTTCTCACTCCTACAGAAAGAGAGTGGTCACATAAAAATTTCACCAAGACTGTAACTTTAAACGTATCAAATGGAGATTTCATTGTTATTATTTAGACTTGGTGCAGGGACCTAAAAACTTCAGCTATTTGACTACTGCTGATGAAAATGATGGTCGGTCTAAGGGTTCTAATCTAACTTAAAAACAATAGTTAACACAAAAAAAACTCTTTTTCTCTATTTCGGACATTTGAGGGGAAAAAAGTAGGAAAAGGCCTGTGCTAGTCAAGTCAATGCGGGACTGTATTTAGCTTATGCCATTATTTGCATAAAGTTTTATTTTGGAGACCCACTTGATAGCCCAAGCTTTTACCATTTAAAGCCTTAAGTTCTTTTATCATGGTCTTCGATCTCCCATTCATCTTTTTCTTCTTTTTTCTTAGGACATTAAACTTGAATCATAATTATTCTTTGAGCGGAACCATTGGTCTTCACTTGATTAACAGGACAAGAAAATGCAGTTACCCTTGTATATGTTATCTGGAATGTGGTCCATTCTGTTCTAGAACCCCAAATTTTTATCAATCCTACTATGTCTTATTTCATTTACTTTCTCAAGCTCATACCATATGATTCATATGTAGTGAAATATACCTTATATAATGTACAATTTATGGAAAACAAAATTAGGTAGTGCCACACTTGGTGTTGAGACCATTACGAATAGGAAAAATGTGGTGCGTAATCTTACATGATTAACTCACAACTTACGCACTTCCAGAACTGAAAACTTGGTGCACCTTCTTTTGCGATGGGAAAACTAGTGTTACATTCAAATTAGCTTATCTCATTCAAACTTCTGACTACGGAGTCAAAGAAAACTATCCCAGCTGTACCATATTTCTTGAGTAAAGGGCATAATGTATAGCCTTTCCTGATGATTTTCTAACATGGTTATGAATGTGAAGAATCTTTCTTTTAAGTGGTGCATATCACATTCCATGAATCTCAGATCTTCTTTCCCTTGGCTCTGTTCAAACTTTGTGAATGTGCATTTTGCAGAAATTGGGAAGACGAATGATATTTGGAAAAGGACAGCAGTTAGTGGACGTTGAGACAAATGAGAGAAAAAAGAAGATAAGGAAATTCAAAGAATCAGCATGGAAATGTGTTTATTTCCTCTCAGCAGAGATTCTTGTGCTTTCTGTAACTTATGATGAGTCTTGGTTCACAAACACAAAATATTTCTGGGTTGGACCTGGAGATCAGGTCTGGCCTGACCAGAAAATTAAGTGAGATTTCAAAACATTATGCATTAAAGACTGTTTATGCAGCAGCCATATTAGTTATGCTCTGTCCTTGAGTTTTATCCATGCTTTGATTAAAAATATTGAGCATCCAAGCCCTCTCAAATCAGTTAACTTTTGTGCGTGTATTCAGGTTGAAATTGAAAGGAGCATATATGTATGCTGCTGGATTTTATACATACTCCATCTTTGCTTTGATTTTTTGGGAAACCAGGCGTTCTGACTTTGGGGTGTCAATGAGTCATCATGTTGCAACTGTCATGCTCATTGTGATGTCTTACATATTGAGGTATGTTTTAATGGAGGTCAGCTTGTAGCTTGTTTATCTTCTGTACACTACAATCACATGTAACTGGTTGAATACCAACTTAGCTACATAAAGTATAACGAATGGCCTTACATGAAATCACTAATTTGTCATTCCTATGAATATAAATGCTCATTTGGAAGAGTTTGTTACGGTATATCTCCTGGCGCATTTATGAAAATTTGGTATCAGGCTTATAGAAAGTAAGGACTGAAAGAAAACTTTATTTGCTTCCTGTGTCTGCTTCTTGCAGGTTTGCCCGTGCTGGTTCTGTTGTTTTGGCTCTTCATGATGCTAGTGATGTATTTTTGGAAGTAGGGAAGATGTCCAAATACGGTGGTGTAGAAACTCTTGCTAGCTTTTCATTTATTCTCTTTGTTTTATCTTGGATCCTTCTTCGCCTCATTTACTATCCATTCTGGGTCCTTCGGAGTACAAGGTGAGTAAATTTTGACACATACTTTTTTTGCCATGATATTCTTTGGGATATCCTTGGTTCCAATATAAAATAGCTCAGGTTGAGATCCGAATTTGATCTCAAAATCCGTTTCATAATTTATAATCTTTACAGTGGTATTGTTATGAAGTTTTTTATTAGACTGAGATCATCCAATAATGTCGTTGAACTCCAGATGATCAACCTTAGAAGTACTCAATAGTTTTGATGAAGCCTATTTTCTATAAATGCTGTATGATTTATGGATTAGCCAACAACAATGATTTATTCTTTGTTAATTGTCTGTACACGTGTACACACACACTCACACACCCACACATTTTGGGGTTAATATAATTTTTTTAATGATACTTTTTTCTCTCTCTAAAGATCAATTGTTCTTGAGTTCTGGTGACACAGTCTTCTGCCTAGTCAGATGTGATATGTTGAAAGACATGTACTTATTGACACAGTGAAAACTTTTATATATGTATAATTGACATCCTTACTTCTGCCAAGTACCAAGTTTAAAAAACCTAATTTCATTAAGCATGTGCCTTCAACTGTAGATGCATAAAGTCACTGTTATCATACTAGCAATTCAATGTTTCTTTGTGGTGCTGAAGGCAAGCAAACCATTCTGTCGGCCAAATAATCAAATTTTTTTATTGCTGTCCTGGTGCTTATTGGCTCTATGATAGCGGGTTTGAATCCAATTATAACTGCACCTTTTTATTCCAATGAGTGATAATTTTTTTTGAAATTCCTTTTGTTGGAACTCTACTAACAAATAACAAGCAACGAATCAAGTTTGCTTATTTTACTTATGTTGGTTAAATACATTACTGATTGAATAAACCCACTATTTTTTCTATTTCTTCTTTATTTATGCTTCCATAATGATGGAATTCGAGGTTTTATCATAAAATCTTCCTTTATCTTCTTGTTAATAAACTTTTGTCTGTGTATCCTGCTTCAAAAAGTTGCACCTTTTGCTGATGACATCTTCTATATCTTTGGTCTTGAACCAGGTACCAGAAGCGAACATATCTTACTTTTCCTTTGACTTAGTTTGTGATCTGTACAATTATTTACTTGTTCTCATTACACTAGTTATGACAAGTTTTAACTAAGATTATTTAAGAAATTCTGCATCTTCTCTTTAGTTATATACAGTTTTGTTGCAATCTTGGACACTAACAGTTCTTATTAGTAACAGAACTACATGTTAATTCAGTAGGATTTCTTATACTGTGTGAAGTTCTTATTTCTCAATGTGGTTTATTCAATTCCATTTTTTTTTTCTTTTCGTTATAGTATAATAGATAAGGATTTAGATTTTATAATAAATATTATGTTGGGGTGTTTAAAACCTTTATAAATGCCATTCTTATATATTTTAATATCATTGTTTTCTTCTCTCTACGGCAGTTATGAAGTTCTCCTTTCCTTGGACAAGGATAAGCACAGGATTGATGGACCAATCTACTATTATGTGTTCAACACGCTTCTTTTTTGCTTGCTTGTTCTTCATATCTATTGGTGGGTATTGATATACCGGATGCTTGTCAAACAAGTCCAAGCAAGAGGCAAACTTAGTGAAGACGTTCGATCTGGTAAGTCAATAACAACTCTGATAGTTCGGTAATGAACACCCACATATATACATGGGCCTGCTGTGCATATCAGAAAAAAATGGAACAAATTCTTACAATTATTTCTGTCAGGAAGTTTTTAAGTGCATTATTTGCAATTTGATATCAACTGGATCAATCTCTTTTGATGTGTGACAATGCATGAATGACAATCAGACATTTCAAAGATATATAAGAAAGAATTTCTCTATGAAGTCGACCAGTTCAAACACTGTTGTAGGAGTTCACCACATTGGTGATTGGGGTGGTGAAATGCTGGGTTGGGTCACTTGATGCCTACCATAGCAGTAATATACCAAAGATTTGAGTGTCCGATGGAAAGTGTATTTCTTCTCTTAAAAGATAGGCATTTGAATGTCCTGATAAATTGGTATCCAAACCAATGGAGAGATGAGCATTCTGATGACCCCAAAAATCTGGAAATTGAATCTGTCCATTTTGTTATTCGTAGCATTTAGAAATTAGAACAAGTCCATCAGGAAATTTTTTTCTTTTTCTCTTCTTAATTATTTCATCACTTTTTGTTAGGACTTTATTTGGTTTTCCTTTATTTTCTAGGCAAGTATTCCTAATGATTTTCTAAAATAAGGGCATTAAAATGCTTCATGAAATCAATTAATTTCAAGTCATCTTTAAGGGAACCATCGTGAATGTTTTGGCTTCTTTAGTGGCTTTGTCAAAGTCGTGTAATTATGCAGTGTGTGAGAAACAGAAGGGGCTGACTGAATTTCGAGTGTACTCCAATATGATGAGTTGTTGCACTTGCATTCCTAAACCCAATAACTTCTAATATATGCAGTTATTATATATGAGTACATATTATTTGCTTCTGCTGGATATTAGCACTTGCCTGTATTAGTCAACTAAACTCAACCCAACCCTTTACAGGGCGAGGCTGATGATGATAGGTCAGGCATATGCTGTCTGACCCAATCGGGAATTCTGTTGTGCACTTTAACTAGCATGTTTAACAGGAGTTTATTCCCCATATGAAAATGTTTAGGTCCAGTGTAATTAAAAAAACTAGATACCCATTTGTTTGTGATCTTTTGTTTATTCATCTAAACCTTTTGCAGATTCTGAAGGTGAAGATGAACACGAAGATTGATCATGTACAAGATTTCCGATCACTCCTTTATTCGTGTGTGCATTTGGACGCCGTATGGAAGAAATGAAGTCATATCATAGTTACCAATACGATAATATAATTAAAGTTGAGGTTACATTCTGGGCTCATAAAACCACCATACACATCTAATTGCTATGGAGATCTGAAGGGAGTTGTCTCAAATGCTGCATAAAACGTGTCGGATTATTTAGTTTTCTTTGAACCTCCAAAAGTGCCCTAAATTTGTCATTGTAGGAGTTAGCTAGTGGACAGAGGTTTGATTTGTGATTCTGAAATTTAGGTCCATTTTATTCACCCCATTGGTTCTACCCTGCTGGCTTAAGAAGTTAAGAGTGGGTTTTTGCAGGAAAGTTGACATTTGTTGTTGTTGGTTGTAATGCTTGTGTTGTAATACTTACTACATTGGCCAAAATACTTGTTCTAAGAAATTTCACCATTATTCAGAACACATGTTTTGGTTCATTCATTTCTGGAAATTTAACTATGGCCTTAAATGTTGGGTTGGTTGATAGTATAAATTCATTTTACGTGTGTGTATTAGATGTATGCATGCACAAAGTCGAAAAAACTCATGTTTGTCTTATAGATTTGAAACATGCATATTAGGTTAAATTCCACCGTACCAGAAGTTTTACGACACCCGAGGTACTGTATTTCTGGAGTTATGAGTTTCACCGCCACATCTATCGCATGGGAGATCCAAGGATACGGTATCCATGATATTTTAGAATTTTACATTAAAATATGGTTCACATTTTAGCATTTATAAACTAACAATTTTTGGAGGCATATTTGTTCAATGGTATAAAAGATCAAATTTAGTTTAAAATGTGGGTTTGATTATTAAAGAGAAAATATCATAAGATGAGGCTTGCACAATCATGAACCATGGTTAGAAATTAGAATCACAGAAATTTAATGTGCTACCTACCTTGAGGTGTTTTGGTTTGGTTTGACTAGTGTTACTGTAAAAAAAATAAATAAATAACAAAATAAAACTAGATAAAATAAACCAAAAAAATTCCAAATTTATATATATTTTGTCAATCCAATTTTATATCCAGGGTCCTCAATTTAATATTATTCAAAAACTTTATAGTTTTAATAAACATTTGGATAGTTTAGTTTTGTAAATGAGCTACGGATTTTTTTTTTTTTTGGGTTCAAAACTCAAATTTGAAAGCTGTAAAAAAAATTTGTTCCATTGACGATTTTTGAAAAATATTTTCTAAAAATTCAGATTAAATAGAAAACTTTTCCGATACATGTATTTTGTAATTTTCAATATATATATATATATATATATTTCTTAATTCTTAAAACTAAACCAAGCGTGTACTTTTGCTACTCATTTTAGCATCTGAAATTGAGCTTCAGCGCTTTCACTCTCTCCTCTCCGCCCCTCGTGCCGCCGACGCCGACTCTATCGTTCCTTCAGCCACTGCTTCAGCTTCCGCCGCCGCCGTGCTGCCACTACCGGTATGCTTTTTTCTTATACCTCTCTTTATCAGACATGACATTTGACGTTTCTTTCATTTCAAGGAATGTGGCAATTGTTGCGATTGGTAACTGTTTGTGCTCATAATTAGGGTTTTTCATTTTTTAATGCTAGTTCCTTATACTATTGGACCACAAATTGCAATTATTGCAGTACCATACAAATATATGTTGTACTATTTACATAGCGAATCGAACGGTCTCTTGAGTTTCGTTGATCATTAGAATTTCTGAAAGCAATCTTCTTTCCATGGAGAAACAATTTGGGTTTTGAATCGTTCTAACAATGGAACTATATGGGTTTAGAAGATGTTGAGGTCAAGATGATCGTTTATGGTTACTCTTATTGTTGATGACACAGATCGAAAAGTAATACAAACCGAATTTTTTGAATTAAATTATAAACCGAATTCAGTTTCGAATTATACATAGCCCTCCTTTGCTCTTATAATGGATAATAAAACAAAAAACTGTATGTTCAACTTTGTGGTTAGGTCTTAGGTTTGAGAACTATCTGCTCTATGTTGTTGCCAAAAAAAGAGAGATGCTTCTAAAATCTAGTAAAGATGCATAAAGGTGAGTGTGTATGGGAAATGAGTGCTCATTTTCTTTGACAACCAACAATACGCGGGGATCGTGTAGGCATTGGGTAAGTTCTTTGGATCGTGTAAAAAATGGTTTATGATTTTCGCAAGGCATTTTTATTGAAGAAAATCATGCTGTTTATAATATTGGGCTCTGCTTGCTTGGTTAAAGAGTTTTCTGATCTTATATCTAAGGGCCATTGAATAGGGGACTTGAATTGATGTCCAATCCATCCATTGTTTCTCTTTGTACATGGTTGATTTGTGATACAGACATGCATGGATTTAGATAGTACAATTTGAACATGTGGATTTTATTTGCGAGGCTTATGATTTTTCTTGTGTAGTCCATGACATATTGTTAATCTCTGTTGTTTGTGCATGGCTATTATATATATATTTTTTCCGATAATGAGGGATGTTGTGCTGGGAGAGAATTGGATATGAGCCTAAAAGGTTTTCTTACATGTACAAAGTAGCTGCTCTAAAACTTAAATTATCATTATCACACTTGACAGCTGGAGCTTTACCATTGTACCAAGAAATGGCCTTTAGTTACATTGTGTGTAACAGGATGTAATACTTTCTTTTTCATGTTTTGATGGTTTCCCATTACACCTCATGAATGGCATATATAGTTTGAGTGTCGTCTATGTTTCAGAAGTATACTGAAGTCTCCACCTTTTCTTTGTCTGGTGTTTCAACACCTCTTCGATAATGACGTAGTCGAATTTTTATTATATAACACCTTGGACAACATATGGCATCAATATTTAGATTGGAGATGTCCTTCTTTGTATATGTCTTTTTTGTATTGTATGACCTCCCCCTATATTTTCTAGCTCTCTTTTCAAAGTAGCTCATCAATCTTCTCATTGGAGAATGAGTGCAGATGTCAGGAGGGTATTTTTCTCATTAAATAGGTTGGCATTATGGTATCAAATTTTATCCTTTTTTAGTACTCTTACAGGTGATGTTGTCATAACCACATGAGTTTCTACAATATAAAATTCAGTTGTACACTTGGTATCATGAGGGACTAAGAAGCACGGACACGGATACGGGACACGGATACGACACGACACGGACACAGCGACACGGCAAATCCAAAAAAATTAGGACACGGACACGGCAAATAGTATATATATATATATATATCAGCATTAATAATTTAAAAAAAAAACACTGATATGTTTAGGTTGGAATATATATATATATATATATATCACTGATATGTTAGTATATATATATATCAGCATCTTTAGGACACGGACACGGCAAATTGTGGCATCTTTAGGTTAGTATATATATATATATCACCATCTTTAGGGTAGTACAAAACAAAAAATAGAACATATCAGTATTAAAAATTAAAAAAAAAAAAAAAAAAAAATTAACATATCAGCATTAAAAATTTAAAAAAAAAATCCAGAAAAGTGTGTCCGAGCCGTGTCCGAGCCGTGTCCGAGCTGTCCGAGCCGTGTCCGAGCTGTCTGAGCCGTGTCTGTGCCGTGTCCAAGCCGTGTCCGAGCCGTGTCCAAGCCGTGTCCGAAAATAAAAAAAAATAAAAAAAATTCCAGACACGTTTTTTGGCGTGTCCGACACGTGTCGGGGCGTGTCCGACGCGTGTCCGTGTCCGACACGTGTCGGACACGGATTCTTCGTCCATTTTGGAGTGTCCGTGCTTCTTAGATGAGGGATCTCAAAGTATTTTTGCTATTGAAGAGTGTCCCAAGTTATTAACCATAATTTTATTGGATGATAAGACTAAACAATGCCTTGTCTTGGTAGGGAATGAAATTTTGATTACTGTGCTCCTTGAGTAATTTCCATAATTCCCTTTCTATTGGGCAGAACGATTGGTTATAATCTAAATCTTTACTACATGCTCTTAATTTTGTTATTTTCTGAGTTAACTTGGCAGTCTCCTGGTCCACTCAGATTAACAGATTGCCAGTGGCCAAGCTATGAGATTTAGAATACTGAAACCTATTTTTTCCAGAATTCAGCAGGATTTGGAACTCGGATAAAGGGAAGACATGGAAGATGTGCTGACAGACATTCCCCTGCCTTCAAGGTTCTTTTCGGAAGATCTCAACAACTTCACTGCTCCATCACCGCCCCTTCCATCTCCCTTCCTGTTGTTATCTACCCCTGATGCAAAAAATCCCCTCTGCCCCTCTCTCCTCATCATTACCGTGTCTTCTCCATCTTTATATATCTTCCACCATGTGTCCTCTAAAACCTTAATAGGAACCCTCGTCCTCCCTGAGATCCCCTTCTCTGGCAACTTTGTCGAACCATCTCTCAGAGACAAATCCTGCAACATTTATGCCCTCAATGATGCTGATAATTTGATTTATGTTGTCTCCATTCAGTATCCAGTTCCTGCAGAGAGATCTCATGCTGTTGCAAAGTTGCTAATTGGTGAACAGATTGTTCCAGAGAGGGTTTTGATCTTGGATTCAGTTCAGAGCCGAAACTTTCGGGGTAAGCTCTCACCAGATGAAACATTTGCCTTCAAGCTGGAGACATCATTAGAGAGAAAGGATCCAACACTTCTAAAAGGTTTAGACTATTTTCCATCGGGAAGTGTGGTAGATGGCTTAGCTCCTGCTTTATTGGGTCGATGTCAGATGAAGAAGATCAAGGGAACTCTGTGTGTTTCATGGCCTGAATTCGGTGGCTCTGTGATGTCACTTGTTAAATCTCTACTGCTGAAGGATGTCTTACCCCGCTTGGAATGTAATAGTGATGGTGACAGTGAGGAGGAATGTTCAAGGCTTGGCGGAGTAAAAAACCATCTTCTTGATTCCGAATTATATACCTAGTATCTCTCTCCGGACACTTTCTTAGATTACGCACATGGCCAAATAGTCTTTTCCCCGTTACAACTACTTCAGGCACTGATAGTAGTCGCTTCTAATATCAATGCTACATTTTGTTGAAAATTTCTACTACTTTTACTTTTGTACTTTTTCTTCTATTTGAATTGACACTGCATGTTTAATGGCAGTTTTTATTCTACTGAACACTTTTTTTGGGACTCCCAAGCAGTGTTAATAAGTTATTTAAGTTACAGCCAGTGGCTTTCTGTCAAACCCTCTTCGTACCAAGGCCGAGCAGCCATCATATTATGAGACACTGTGTGCTATTATGCAGCTGAAAGCTCGGGCATGTGTTGGATGACTCTGTTCAGCTCTTGTTCGGAACTTGTCTTGAATTTTTCACACTACAATTTCATGTTGCATTGCATTCATTCGAAATATCAATGGTGATATATACATATATATATAAATGTGTGTGTGTGTGTGTGTTTGTTGATTAATAGGTTATGTCAATCATTTATTCACCAGATTCAAAGCAACAAAATGGCAGGGAGATATACACCAGAGGAAACAGAAGGATGGTGAGTAATTAACGGCATGGATTCAACCACAGGAATGTTTTTCACTCTTGGAAGCATTGAACTTGTGAACCATCAAACACCATCAAACCGTTTGAAGTCTCCCAAGTCCCTAGCCCACATATATATATTGTCATGACCCACTCCCACACCGAAAGAAAATTCCCTTCCGTGAACAGTATATCTTGTTCCGTCTGGTTCGAAATGTATTTTACAAAAAGGTTGGGATATTTGTTAAAAATCTCAATTTTTTTGTAAGGTGCATCCTGAATTGGACGGAACAAGTCCTACTGTTTCACTGGAGAGGATTCAGGTACGTCCCACACCCTCGTGAGAAATTGTCTATGCAATGTCGGATTGATTTGGGTCACTCCCACACCCGTGTGAGATATTGATGTGGGGACGTTTCAATCACTCCCACTCAGAGGAAACTGGCCTGACCCGCATGAACTTGCATCCCACCCTCGTACCAAGGACTCTCTTCTAGGTACTCATAGTTTTCCTCAAAACTCTCTTACCAAGAATTCTCTTCTAGGTGCTCATAGTTTTCCTCAAAATGCCCGGGAACGTCTTCCCGAGATGACTTGGGATGCTACATGTATAAATAAATATATGAATAAAAGAATGGAAATGTACAAACAAGGATGCAGGATTATTCGGAGCCAAAGTCCACTTTGTTGTTATTTCTAAGAATCGATATCGTTAGTCTTGTGTTTCAAGACTCAAGATCATGACTTACTGAACATAGAATTCTAGATTTTCTGCAAGCAAAATGTAATCTTGTAAATGAAGAAATTGTAAGAAGGATAAATATATAAATGACGTGTTGGTTTTGGACCTTTATTAATGTGCATGAAAATTGACTAAAGCTAGCACTCATCTATATGGGTACGTTTAGAAATTGCATATCTTAACCACAATTTGCCAACCAAACGATCAAACCATTAAAAAAATATCAATTTAACACATCACAGAAGAAAATCAGCAAACAAAGTTTAGCTTGTGATCTTAACCTACTATATAAAGTGGTTAATTATTTTAATAATTCATTTAGCTCAAACTGTCCAACCAATTAACCCCGTGTTAATGAGCAGTTAGACAAAATTAGATTATGTAATGATTCTAGTCATTGAATTAATAGTTGATTTATTTAAAAAAATTCGCCTCACATTAGGCTAATCAATTTTCTGTTCTAAAAATGTGTGTGTGTGAGAGAGAGAAACTTGGTTTCGAGAGAAAAGTAGAAGGGTTAAATATTAGCTGTAATGAGAGAAGCCTAGTTTTGGTTTGGTCGATTGCCCAAATCTTAAGAATTATATATTGGAAGGACACAAGTTTTTTAACACCTCTCTCTCTCTCTCTCTCTCTCTCTCTCACACACACACACACACACACACACAAACTTGGGATTTTTGGTTTGGAAATAATCACCAACCAGACCAATATTAGTTACATCCTCTATTGACTACAAACATCTTTCATAAAAATACTCAAGAGACAATGACCAGTACTACAAACATGCAATAACCAACACTCTTCTCACTTATATATCTCATAGTCCAACCATCACCTCCAAATTAAACTCTCTCTAAGCCATCCAAGAAAGCACAACAGCAAAAAAAAAAATGGCACCTTCACTTCACTACTCAAGATCATCACCTCCATTGCTGCAACTCATGCTTTTGGTTTTCTCCATCTTTTGCATCACCTTGCGTGCAACTGACCCTCCCTTGACCCTAGACTACTACTCATCTACATGCCCAACTGCTCTTGAGATTGTGAGGAAAGAGATGGAGTGTGCAGTGCTCTCTGATCCCCGAAACGCCGCCTTGATCCTTCGTTTACACTTCCATGATTGCTTTGTTCAGGTGAACATACATGTCTCTTATCATTAGAAACATACGCAGTGACAATTCCGACTGTTTTTATACGAGTAAGGTTGACGTTATCATGATGTCAACTCTATTACTGATGTCATCATAACATTAGCCCCTACTCATATAAAATAGTCAGATTAGTCTGACTGTTGGCAAGGACGGACCTATTAAGGACTCAGTGGGGGCAGCCGATGTCCTCACTAAATTTTTTTTTTTTTTTATTTCTAAAATTACCTATAATTTTTGTTAAAATTTTTAAAATGCCCCTGCTCAATTTTTTATAATAACCCACTATATATTCTTATTGTTCAAGTCCGCCCCCTCTCAAACAATTTTCTGGATCCATCATTGACTGTCAGACTACATATCATTTTTCATAGTTTAGTAATCTACATTATATGGTTTTAGAATCAATTTATGGCCAATGGTACTGAAGTTTGTTGATGTGGTTGGTACAGGGTTGTGATGGCTCAGTTTTGTTAGATGACACAATTACACTACTAGGAGAGAAGAAAGCCCCCATTAACATACATGCCTTGAAAGGGTTCAGAATCATTGATAGGATCAAGAACAAGCTCGAATCAGAGTGCCCCGGTATAGTCTCTTGTGCCGATATCCTCACAGTTGCTGCAAGAGATGCTGTTATTCTGGTATGCAAAATTTATAATACACAAGTTTAAACTTATTAATATCTTATGTATGTTTGTATATATGTATATCTATATACTCAAGTTCCGTTGGAGGGCGGGGGCAGAGGTTCAAGTCCACGTAGGGGCAAATGGATGCGTTAGTTTCTTAAAGAAAAAAAAGGTGTTAATTTGTGATAATTACTTATCCTTTTTTTTTTTTTTTCTATAATGTTTTCAGGTTGGTGGACCTTATTGGGATGTTCCTCTAGGAAGAAAGGACTCTAAATCTGCAGGCTACGCCCTTGTCGGCCAAAATCTTCCCACTTCAGATGAAAGCCTTCTCTCTATCATTTCCAAGTTTCTTTATCAAGGTCTCTCTGTCACTGATATGGTAGCTCTTTCTGGTAAGCACCATTAATCAATCATATAGGGATCGTGATATAAATTCAACTACTAGCAATATATATATATATATATATATATAAATTCAACTACATGAACCAATATGTCTGCAATGTGCTTTCATCAATAGGGTTTGTAAAATCAGAATACTTCCCAAAGTGAACACTATGCTTAAACTGGTTAGTATTATGCTATTAGTTTTCTGTTTTCGGGAATTTTGTTTTGTTAAAAACTCTGTTATAAAAAGGTCTATTTTCATATAATGTCTTTTATAGTTCTCTAAATTATTACCTGAATTCTTGAGAACTATTTATAAAAAATTGAACCAAGAAGGCCCAGAGTATGTGTCTATGAGTTCTAGGAAATCCAAGAAAAATGATTTTCGAGAGTAAATTCAACTAATAGACTTCTGTTTGTTTCGACGTAAAATATTTTATTTTTATTTTTATTTTTATTTTTATTTTTCGATATTTGACAAATGTTTAGGTCGAGTCCATCGAGTGTGGTGTATAAAATAGCTTGCCGAAAATTGATGAATAAACTATTTTTTATTAAGTTTTAATATTTTTTTTTTCTTACAACCAAACACAAAAAACACAGAAAATATTTTCCGAAAATATTCTACCCTCAAACAAACGAGCCTAAGTTTCCTCTTCATTTTCGAGGTCTTAAACACAGTAGTGCACATATTTGCAGATAATTCAAATGTTATCTTTAATTCCGAGCTTCACTAAAAGAAAGTGTGCTGCTTATAATCCGCAGGGGCACACACAATTGGCATGGCGCGGTGTGTGAATTTCCGGGAAAGAATCTATGGAGATTTCGGAGCAACTTCAGGGTTGAATCCACTTTCCGGGACACATCTGAGCAACTTGAAAGCTATTTGTCCAGCTGCAGGAGGAGACAACAACGAAACAGCCATGGACTACGTCACACCTAACCTTTTCGACAACTCTTTCTACCATCTACTTTTGAATGGGGAGGGATTACTGGACTCTGATCAAGGACTGTACTCCAGTGTGCTTGGAATCGAGACGAAGCAGCTTGTGCAGAAGTATGCAGAGAGTGCCGTTGCTTTCTTTGAGCAGTTCTCTGAGTCAATGGTGAAAATGGGAAACATTACAAATCCAGACACTTTTGTTGATGGTGAGGTTAGGAAGAGTTGCAGATTTGTGAACACATGAAGAGTCTGCAATTTGTTATACCAAGAAGTGGAAATTAAACCACAGATTATGTGTGTGACATTGTTATTGAAAAGAAAATTGATGTCTCTCTTTGATTCATTTGTAATAGATATATAAAAATGTCTAATTAAAGATGTGTTTTACATAGACAATACTCATGTATTGGATATTAAGATATGTGATTCAACATGTTTGGTTCAGCAAGTTTGTGTTAAGCACCAATTATGCCCAAAAAAAATAGAATTTTAGTATGATATTTAAACTTGAATAAACTGATAAAAAAAGAAAAAGAAAAAGGGAATGTGTTATGCCATGTTAGGCTAATTAGCCCAAAAGCTTAATTAACAAAATGTAAGCAGCTCTCACAATTGGTGACCTTCCCCATACCTTCCCCGTACCGTGTAATGGTAATGGCGAGAGTCTCGTGCACTGGACTAAGTTTTATTTTTTATTTTTTTCCTCACATTTGGTCATTACTCTTATGTTGCGTTCGTGAGCACCGAATTGGTGCCTTAAATTTTGAATTGGAAAAATTTTAGTTTAAATTGTTAATTAAATTTTCTCCAATATGTTGATTTAATACTCTCAAACATAGCATTATTAATTTTCTTTTGTTACCTTATTGTTTCAAAATAAGTGCACACATTGAACAATTTATATATGCAATATGATTTTTTATTTTTTTTCCCTGTGAAAATACTAAAAAAAAAAACCACAAACTATTTGGTCTTGTTTCCGTGTTCATGATTCAAAAAATGTTACATTTAAACATATATCCACATTTTTCCTAAATTCAGGTAACACATTTTAACTTAAAGAAATTTTAAAGGAAAGTCTATATATATAAAGAACAGAAAAGAATAATAATTGAATATTTCGTTGTAATTAGGGTGGCATGTCCCTGTCACTAACCTTAAATCTCTTCAAGGCACGTAGGAAACTAGAGAGCCACATTGTAGAGTATTTTTCTTAGAGGAAAAAGAAAAATGGGCTTGTAGGTGGAAATCTACCTGGGCCAAAATTCTAAACTTGGTCCAATAGCTTGAAGTCCACCTCGTCCACGGGCCTTGACTGTCTTCTCAAGTGGCCCAAACTAGCTGTTGGCCAGTCAAGGCCTATGGGCTCATATCAGGCCTCAAATCTTTTGTTGCTCCATTAACAATCCCAAACTTAGAGACTTGGGCTCATATCAGGCCTCAAATCTTTAGTTGCTCCATTAACAATCCCAAACTTAGAGACTTGGGCTCATATCAGGCCTCAAATCTTTGGTTGCTCCATTAACAATCCCAAACTTAGAGACTTGGGCTCATATCAGGCCTCAAATCTTTGGTTGCCCCATTAACAATCCCAAACTTAGAGACTTGCGTCCAAATCAAATGTCCATTACAAGTCCTTGAATAGTGAATATACATACCCTTTCATGAGTTCTAAAGAAAATCTCTCTCTCTCTCTCTCTCCATGTAGTATAGTTGCAGACATGAATCACATGGACACCTCATTTTAAAAGGCATCAGTTCAAAGGCATGCATTATCCATTTTTCACTCTTTCTTGCCTCCCCCAAACCCACCCCCCCCCCCCCCCCCCCCCCCCCCCCCCCACGTGCACCAAAGTTTTGAAATTTTGTTTGTCACTCAATATTCATTTGTTGATTGATATCTAGTTAGATTTTTTGGCAATGTTTTACTTTTGACTAAAGAATAAAAAATGTGCATCACATTTTCTCAGTAATTTGAGCATTTAAATGAAAATTGGACAATACTCAGGTCTTTATTGGTGATACTCCATTCTAATCGCGGTATTAAATGGACTCATTCTCTTTAATTATAAAATCAAGCAATAAAAAAATAAAATAAAATAAAAAACATGATTAACTCATTATTTTTGATTTTGTAAATAAAGAGGATGTATTCATTTCTTATTCGTCTACATTAGCGATTAGGATGAAGTACATCCTTCTTTCAGTGATGGATCCAAAAAATTTTGTGAAGGGGATGATCTTTTAATTTGTGAGAGCAAATTTATATAGTGGGTCCATTTTTGTAATTTCAATGAAATTTTCTTTATAAATTTTTAAAAATTTAAAGTAAAATTCAAAAAATAAAATAAATAAATTAGTGGGTGCAAATTGTTATATTAGTGGGGCATCTTAAAAAATTTGAAGTATAAAATGCAAAAAAAATAATTTAATGGGGTGAATTATAATTTTAGTGAGGACATCTTCATAAATTTTAAAAAATTTAAAGTATAAAATAAAAATATAAAAAATTTAGTCGGGACATCCGTCCCCACTAATCCTACCTTAGGTCGGTGCCGGGCTCCTATGAAGATCCAAGTGTTATCTATGAAAATGAAAATTTAATTGCTTGCTTCTCCAATGATTTGAAGTTTTCCAACATTTTTAAGTTTCCATTTAAAGAATTAATTTAATTTGGTGTACGATTTCTGAACTTCTTGTTTTTATATTGACCTTTTATCAGTCACTTTGAAGTTTTCCAACATTTTTACGTTTCCATTGTCAAAGGTAATTAATTTAATTTGGTGTACGATGTCTGAACTTTGTTGTTATATGGACTTTTATCATCACTTTGATTTTTTCCAACATTTTTACATTTCCATCGTCAAAGGTAATTAATTTAATTTGGTGTACAATGTCTGAACTTTGTTGTTTTTCTATGGACTTTTATCATCACTATCATCAATTAATAATGTAAGAATTGAACTGGTAAACCCCATTTATGTATGTCTAATTACACACCACTATTCTATACTGAATGCTCTTGTCAATTAGAAAATAAAAATTTATAACAACATTAGTTATGCCCATAGTTCGCAATCGCAATATCGCTTACAGTCGCGATCGCAATATCGCTTACAGTCGCGATGTAATAGATTTGAATAAATATCAGTTCATACCTACCGAACTAGTTAGTTCATGGAGATATATATCGATATCGGATCCTTAAAAAAAGATTACAAACCGTATCGACCGATATAGCAAACCATAGTCCTGTCAACTAAAAAATAAAAATTAATGAGAACATAAGTCGATGTGTATTAAGTACCTTAATTTTGTACAAGTAGCCTACTACCAAATATATGTGTGTGTGTATATATAATTAAGTAAATTTGTTGGCGTGTGATGAGAGAATTCCTTCTTAAAAAGTCATTAGACAAATGTGAAGATATAACTTTGGGCGTGAAATAAGTGTCCACTTTGAACAAAATGACACCAAAAGATTGATTTTCTTGTGAGTTTTGAGTTTGAAAACACTCATTTTATGCAAAATATGTGCATTACCAAAAATTAGGTTGTCTCCTGTTACATCTTCCTAAAACATTGTTAGACACACGCTAATGTCCTTTATTTGTTAATTAATGATTGTCAGATACTTAGATAAAGGAGGGCGAACCAACGTTTCTAAAACAATTTTTAAAAGACTTAGACATGACTGTTAACATCTTTTGTTTGGAGTAACATTGATGTTCTGTTTGGCTAGAAGGATAAGGATGAAAAAATAGATGAAAGGTAAAGGAAAAAGGATGGATGAAGCATTCCGAAAGAAAATATGTTTTCCTCAAATTTTGTTTGGTTGAATAAAATAAATAGTAAAAAGGCTGGATAGAGTAACACATTATTTTTGTTTGATTGGAAGAAGGAAAAGATGATTTTTTAAAAAGAAAAAATATATATATAAAAATTCTATATCCATTCCAAGTTTATAGAAAGGTAAGAAATGGAAAATACACATCTTTGTTAATGGTTATTTTTTTCCCTCTCCTCAACCTCCAAATTTTGGAGATAAAAAAATACAAATAAAGAAGTGATGCTTCATCCCTCTCATTGCTTACTCCCTCTGTTCCCTTCTCTTTAGTCAAATATCAAAAAAAAATCATTTTATACATTCTCTCATCCCTTCCTCATTCCCTCCAATCAAACATAGCATAAAAAAGTGTTCTCTTATGAAACATGGACACGTACACAAAATACGGATACGATACGACACGGCAAATTTTAAAAAAATTGAATACGGACATGGCAAGGATACGCCTATGAAATTATATATTAAAAATCCACAATACGATAAATTTAACCTCCCAAAAAAATATTACAATAAAAGAAATATTTCAATTCATAATCTAAACAATTAATAACTAAGCAAAATTATTAACAAAATTAGACAAATAAGATCAAATACATTTTCAACATATTTAACATTTTTCATTTATCAGTTCATTATTTGTGTAGTTATTTTTTTAATTTTTTCAAAATTTTAGTTCATTTTTAAAAAACAAATTACAAAATATATTCCATCATATTCGATACATGTCCTCCGCGTAAGGGTTGTTATAATTATTTATTGATAAAGAGAAACTTGTTGACTAAATGGACGTCAGTTGAATAGGAAACCAAATTCTAAGTAGACCAGTAAGGGTTATTATTATTATTTATTGATGAAGAGAGTGACATAAATAAATATATATTAAGATTAATATTAAATAAAAGGCTATAAGAAGACCACTATTGTTTCTTCCACCAAGTTACATATATTTTATAGCTTTATGAAACATTGCTACGAAAGTTCTAGGCTGTTTCATTTGCACCAAGATATCCATGTATTTGGACATTTATTATGTACCGTGTCTAATGCCATACGTACGAAAGTTCTATGCTGTTTCATTTCCAACAAATTCCATATATATATATATATATATATATATATATATATATATATACATTTTTGTACCGTGTCTAATGCCATTCCTACGAAAGTTCTTGGAATGGGTAAAGGAGAGAAATAAAAATATATATATATATTAACCAATTAACTATTATTATACCTAATGTAAAGGCGAGACTTAAATGTCTTTAAAATTGTCCTTACTAAAATATTAAGGCTATTTTAAAGTGGTTGTCATTTCTCTCTAAATCTTTTTTTTTTATTAAAATGATGGTAAAAAAAAAAATCGTATAAGCTATTACTTCAAATCTTTTCAAATTATTTCTTTTCTCTCCCTATTAACAAAATAAATATAAAAAACAATATTCCTTCTTTTTTTTTCTTTTTTTTTCTTTTTTTTCCAATTCCAAACGAAGACTTACTCTCTCGAACATTATCTGAAAACTTATTAGGAAGAG